CAGAAACTAATGAGTGCTGGGGAGAATGTGGAGAAATGGGGACCCTTGTGCACTGTTGGTGGGAATGTAAAAATGGTGTCGCCTTCACAGAAAACAGGATGACAGCTCGCCAAAACATTAAACATAGAATTACCACATGATCCAACAATTCTACTTTCTAGGGATATGCCCCAAAGAATTGAAAACAAGGACTTGAAGAGATATTTGTACACCCATGTTTAGAGCAGCATTATTTACAGCAGCCTAAAGGTAGACACAATCCAAATGTCCATCAGTGGATGAGTGGATAAACAAAATGTGGTGTAAACACACAAGGGAATATTATTCAACCTTAAAAAGGAAGGGATTCTGACACACGCTACATTGTGGACGAACCTTGAGGACATTATGCTAAGTGAAATAAGCCACTCGCAAAGAAAGACAAATACTATGAGTCCACTTCTATGAGGTCCCTAGAGTTGTCAAAATTATAGAGACAGAAAGTAGAATGGTGGTTGCCAGTGGGTGGGGGAGAGTGAAATGGGGAATTGTTTAATGGCTACAGAGATTCAGCTGTGGGAGATGAAAAGCGATCTGGAGATTGGTTACACAGCAACGTGAATGTACTTAACATGCTAAACTGGACACTCAGATATGGGTAAGGTGGAAAAAATGCAAAATCTATGCAAATGCAGAGCTTTATTTAGTGCTATTATTCAGTTCTGCAGTGATTTAACCAAGCAACTACCACTTGCAGGTGTGGACACCAGGGAGAAGAGCTGCAAGACTATGAAACATTCGCTCCCCAAGAGCTGGTTGGGGAGCTGCACAAATCAGTAATGTCTGTATACTTTGGCAAGGGCACTGAGAGATCTACCCATTGAGTGCTATAGCAGGAAGGCTGGGAATAGGAACAGGAAGGGAAGACTTCCTGGAGGAGGTGATTTTGAAGGACCTGTGGACCAAGGGACCTGGCTGGATTCAGTGGCCTGTTACTGCCAACATGCACTGCCACATTATAATCCCTCCCTTTATAGAGTGTTCGATAGATTACAAAGTTCACTGACATCCAGGACACATGGCTCATCCGATTCAGCAACCCAAGGTATTAGAGGGCCTGGAGTTAAGGTGACTTCCAGAGAGGTTAGAGCCCTAACGTGGTGCTAGGAGATGCAAGCCCGTTTCCGTCTAGTCCCCAATCCAAAGAATAAAGACCCTGAGTGTCCACAAGTTTCTAAGCGCCTGTGTGAGCCAGGTTCTAGAACACTGGAGACAGCTCTGACCTTATAAAGTGCAGAGCCAAATCCCAGGGCTTTTTGATATTTGCAACAGCCAGATTTATATCTGGAAGGAATGAAAGAACAATAACAAATTTATTTTCCAGTCTGTATATTATGAATTTCAATGTTTTCCTGTTTCTTCACATGAAGTTTCCTTTCGGTTGGTTATAAAACCCTGTCTCGTTTATGTTGGAGACAGAACAGGCTGACTGCAACGCAGTGGACTAGAAGAGCTAGTGGAAAAGGCGTGCTAACCCCATTTCTCCCCCTGCACCCCGCATTCCCATTCCCTCTGGCTGGCGGCAGCCCGGGGACAGGTCTTGCCTCAAGCCCAGCCTCCTAGAAGAGCCACAGTTGGGTCTGCGGGGTGCCAAACAGGGTCCAGGTTAATAGAGCGGGTTTTCCTAAAATGCAATAGTACCCAAGCACTGTTGCTCTCACAGCATCACAAATAGCTGCACTATGTCACGAAAAACCCTAAAAAACTCCCAAAATGAACTGACTATAGGAATATTGGGGGAGGAGGGTTGGTGCTCCTGGGAACTTTCTAAAGCAGGTGGGTTCACCCACTTGGGGCACCAGCCTCAGATGCAAGGAAAGCGGAAGAGACCAACCACTATCAGGACTGTCTGACACAGAAGTGCTGGTCCCCAATCCAGGATGACATTGTCACGGCTTAGTTTCCAGCATGCATGTGCAAACACACACAGACGCACACACACACAGTTAATTTGCTGAAAGCAGCCATGCTTTCAAGAGCTGGCTGAATAAAGACTGTGCAGATGTTATCTACGTAAAGTTCTTCAAGGTTTAAGGATCAGTCTACTGGAATTGCAATTTCCTTAAAGGATAGCACAACATTTGCTTACATGTATCTGCGTCTGCAGTCCCCTCTTCTCATTGGCTTGAAACTTCTGGGTCCCATGCCCTTTGAGAATCCCACACAGACATAGAGCAAGTCCAGCCCTGCGATGTTCAGCGAGCCCGTCTGCTTGTCCAACAGCCCACGCAGCACAGTAACTGCTAGGAATTGCTAGTGAACTAGTAATTGTTCTCCCAAATTTAAAAATACATTCAACAAATTTTTGTGAAACGGCACACGAAGCTGCTGCCCTTTCCGAAAGAAAAAACAACAACAAAAAAGGAGGAATGAAGCGCTGAGATTTTTGCAGCCCTCTCTCAGATGCTGACTTCCGAAACCGTTAGAAAACACCCACTCCCAAAAGAAGGCTTGAGATGGAAGTTACAGAGGCGCAGCTTTTTGTAATTAACAATGTCATTGCATCACTAGCTAATGCCGTTTCCAATATCCTGACACAGCCTGAATCCCAGCCATGGCCATTTTCCACCCATCGGCTTTTGCTAAGGTTTCCAGACCCCGGAGAAAGCAAGCCCGCGCCCAGAGCCCACCTCTTGAATCCTGGCATGTCCAAGACGCGCGAGGCGAGAAGCGACGGAAAGACCAGCTCGCGGGCAGGGCCGGGCGGGGTCCTGCGCTCCGGCCTCCTCGGGCCCGGGCCGCGGCGGTTCTGTTCCCGACGGGCCGGCGAGTCGCGGAGAGGACGCGGGGACAGCGCCTGGGTCCTCCGAGCCACTGCAGAGCCCACGGAGCGAGCACCTGGTTCTGCTTAGCCCTCTTCAGTAATTCAGCATTAAACCAATTGGAGGAGGAATGTTAAAAATGAACACTTCATTTTCTAAGTATGTTAAACAATGCAAATGGGGCCTCAGTCTGGACACAGCTGGTTCAGATTACAGCGCTCACCAACTGGCGAGACGCCTCACAACAATCTCGGGGCGCCTGCCAGGCCCAGTGCTCGCGCTGGGGGGGGAGCCCTGCCCGGCCGCGCTCGGCTGCGGGGCGGGGGGCGGCGCGCGGGACCCCGACGGCCACCCGGGGAGGGCGGGGCCGGCCGCGTGGCCGCGGGGGAGGGGCGCTCGCGGCGCGGGCGTGGCGCGGGACAGGCGCGGACGTGGTCGCCTCCGGGAGGAGGGTGACTCGAACTCGCGACCAGCGCAGCTACGGGGACCGGGGGTCGGTGGGGACTGGGGCAAGCGATGGGGGACGCCCGATCTTCCCGAAGCCGGGGTGGGGACGAGGAGGAGGGTGGGACCCCGCTAACCGGAGCCTTGAGCTTGTGCAATGATGCAAACCTTGGTGAGGACGCCGCTGTCCCCGCCCTGGTCCCCGGACTCTCCCCCGCGTTTCCTTGCTTTCATTAAGAAGCGTCCCTTGGCTCAAAAGTGATTTCAGCAAGTGAAAAGGTGGTTTGAAAAGACAAAGAGACGGCTGGGAAAGCAGAACGGTGGAGAAAAAGCTGGAGCGCGATGCTGAGCCCTTGACACTCATTACGTTGGGGATTCCACGCCGTTTGGCTTGGCCGCGAGCCGCGCGCTCCCTCCCACCTGCTTTCCGCCGTCGGAAAAGCGCCCATCCAGGTCCTGCCTCCTCAGCACCGCTCTGTGCTACAGGAAGTATCATCTCCATTTTACTGGAGGGGGAGATAAGAGAGGTTAGGTGACTTCCCCGTGGTCACACAGCTATTCACTGATACACGCTGAGCCTCTACAGCCTACATTTCCAGCCTTTCCAAAAGGGCATCTTTTGGGTAAGTGGAATCCTACTTTGAAAATACCTTATTCTAAACGAGAACAGCAGCATGTCAAAAGTTGTTGAAACTGAGTGTCCATTATACTATTTACTCTGTATGTGTTGGCAATTTCCCAGAAAACACATTTTAAAACAGCTTATATTTACAAGGTTGTTCATCCTCCCACTGTTTGTACTAGCAAAAGATTATAAACACACTTACCGTCCATCAGTAGGGCACCAATAGGGTTAAACAAAGTAAGAGACTTCCAAAGATGGACTATTGTGCAACCAATTAAAAAAATCTATGCAGGCCAGGCGCAGCGGCTCACGCCTGTAATCCTAGCACTCTGGGAGGCCAAGGCTGGAGGATCACTCGAGGTCAGGAGTTCGGGATCAGCCTGAACATGAGCAAGACCCCGTCTCTACTATAAATAGAAAGAAATTAGCTGGACAACTAAAAATATATAGAAAAAATTAGCCGGGCATGGTGGCGCATGCCTGTAGTCCCAGCTACTTGGGAGGCTGAGGCAGGAGGATCGCTTGAGCCCAGGACTTTGAGGTTGCTGTGAGCTAGGCTGACACCACGGCACTCTAGCCAAGGCAACAGAATGAGACTCTGTCTCAAAAAAAAAAAAAATAAAAAAAAAATCTATGCACATAAGGGTCCATAGTGGACAGTTCCATTTATATAAAATTCAAAGTCAGGTAGTGCCTAGGAGCGGGTACAGGGGCCTTCTGGGTGCTGGTACTATTCTAATTATTGATCTGGGTGCTGGTTACATAGGGGTGTGTACACCTAACATTTGTAAAGTCTTATGTATGTTATACTTTATTTAAGGAAAAAAAAAAAACAGACAAGATGAGTTGAGCCTGTCATCCCAGCACTTTGAGAGATTGAGACGGAGGATCACTTGAGGCCAGGAGTTCAAGACCAGTCTGGGCAATATGGCAACACCCTATGTCTACAAAAAAAAAAAAAAAAAAAAAAGACCAAAGCACCTCCTTATGTGCTGATATTAAAGGATGTCCAATATATTTTGTAGGTCAAAACAGTAGAATATTGGTAACTTCACATAGAGCAATCTAATATATTACTAAGCATAAGAAGTAGAACTGTGCGTACAGCATGCCACCACTTGTGAAAAAAACAGATACACAAGTTCTTGCTTGCACGTGTACAGAAAAGACATCTCCTGAACGATGTGTGAGAAATTGTTAGCATTGTTCATCTTAGTTCAGGCTGCTATAACAGAATACCATAGACTGGGTGGCTTAAACAATAAACATTTAATTCTCACAGTCCTGGAGGCTGGAAGTCAAGATCAGGGTGGCAGCATGTTTGGGTCCTTCTGGTGACGGCCCTCCCCAAGTTGCAGACGGCCTTCTTCCCGTCGTCTGCCCACATCATGGAAAGAGGGAAACTGAGCCCCTTTCATAAGTGCACTGATTCCATTCCTGAGGGCTCCACCCTCATGACCTAATCCCCTTCCAAAGGCTTCACCTCCTAAAACCATCACATTGGGGGTTAGGATTTCAACATATGTGTTTTTAGGGGACATGAGCATTCCATGTGCAACAGTCTCCTAGGAAGGAAATGGGGGAGGTAGCTGGAGAACAGCTATGAGCAGAAAATTTAATCTTTCTTGCTCACCTTTTGGTATAATTTGAATTTTGTACCATGTACATGTATTACCTGTTCAAAATATGAGGTTAATTTAATTAAATA